TGATTTCTGGGAAGAAGAATGGAAAATCTTTAGCTCTCTTTTTATGATCTTCGTGTAGCTTAAGGGAGACAGAGGGTAGAATAATTATTCTTGATTTGCACGTCATATTTCCCACTGTCTCACTTATGATCTGGCATTTGCACATGCTTTTTAGTACACGCTTGTCAAAAGATGTATCTCTAAGAATTAAATATGAAGGAAAAATAATAGAAAGTACTACTACGTCTGGCTGCTGCTGTCCAGTAAATGAATGATGAATTCTAGTGACTAAATGTTGCCTTTATTCCAATGTTTGTGGTGTTAGTTTGAAGGGGCTGAACACCAAAGTAGTGATAGAGGTCAGTATATGAATATCAAATACAGATCTGCTTTGAATTTAGAAATGTTCAGACCTAGACTTTCAGTCTAGGAACACCACTACCAATAATAAAAATTAACTGCAATGAAAGCAAGGCAATATTGATCATCTCTCAGTTCCTGCATTTGAGATACACTTACATTTTAGCAAAATCATGCTTTTCTACAAGTGCCTCAAACCTATTTACCACTGACTGTGAAAAAACGTGCAATTATGTGTATTCTGAAGCCAAAGATTATTCAATTTCAGAATAAAGTTAGGGTAGATAGAAATATTCTAATTTTTAACTCAATAAATTATTGCAAAAGTATATCACTACGCAATGTACAAAAATCTTCAGTGCAGGGTGCTATTGCATTACTTTTATTACAACAGATAGCACCATAACAATCTTAGCAGTCAGTAGGCTTAGAAACCAAATTCCTCCTCCTTGAGGTAAACACTGAGGCATTACAGCATACTGCACAGAACTGATGCATTTGCTACATTTCTTCCATGGGTGATAAGAGAAATTAAATAATTTTCTGTGAAACAGACATGAAAATTGGAAAATTATTCCCCTGAATCCAAAGGATTGTAACTGCTTCAAGTTGCAGCCACTTTACAAAACACAGTAGAATTGCTCCAGGCCAAAACTGATATTTAATTCTCCTAGATTTGTAAAAATAAAATTAATATAAAACTTTGTTTCATTCTCACTGAGCTTATGGGAATGTAGATGATGATGATTACTATTTATTTTAGGAAGAATGTAATTCAAAGTAACTAAGCCTCACTTTAGCCAAATATATTTTCACCTTCTTGGATCTTCGGAGTATTCAAACCTTCTTCTGCCCACCTTTAGCATAGTTACAATTTTTTCTCTTTCGGAAATGTAGAGAAATCAGCCAGCTCCTTCTATCAATAGCCTTTCCCTTCAAAAATTATTGGTCCACTCTTCCTCCCCATCAAAAGTCAGACAGCCAGACAGAACATTATGACTGGAAATTAGTAAGTAAGGGGGGCTCTCTTAACTTTTTCCTCAAATACCTTCAGACCCTTATGGAATGGACAAAGTACTTCAGCCGTTTTCCAAGAAAATAATCTGGAACACTATTTGCCATGGCAGATTTTGTCCTCTCACAATCCAAAGAGATAACTCTTACTTAAAAACACATACTGTTCAGCCCTTCCTTCACGAAGGGAGAGATTAATCCTTACTTTACCAAATCTAGAGGAAATAGATACACAATTTTACATTTTAGAATTTTAAAGTTAAAACCAGCCTATCATCAGAACTGTATCTAAATACAAGCTACCAAGTGGGAAAAGAGAAGAATTTAACTGGTCCAGGAATATCAAAACAGGACCAAGTATGCTAAAGAACCGTCTACAGATGAGAATCATCCAGCTGACAGTACCACAGTTTGACAGTTTGATGTTGAAGCAGGAACTTTGTTGCTGTGATTTGGATGTGGGTTGAGCAGTCATCCAGAAGGAAGTAATCATTTATTATCTTGAGTGACACAGATCTTACTGAATGTGTTGACTGTACCCAATGTATCTAGTCTCCAAACAAGATATTTAGCACCTAACAAATCTGTCCACTGGGGCATTCTTTGGATAATCTAGTCTGTTTTTCTGTCAGAATGAAATCTCTCAGATGATGGCGATTAAGATGAAGTCTAGAAATGTACATAAATATGCAAGATCCAAGACATCAATGAAAAAAAAAAAATGCAAAAGCTACTCTGGCAAATCGAAAGCCAGTGCTTTCAAACAGTACTTTGGCAAAATGGACAAGACTTGAAATAACTATTCCTATCTTGGGGTTCTGAGGTAGAAAAGGAGAATATTTATCACTTTTAAGGTAGTATTTTTTTTACCAGATAAACGGGCACAATCTCTCACTGGCCAGGTAAATTGTTACAGTTGCTGCAGGTTACCTGGCAGCCTGTAAATCAAATTCCACTGAAAAGATCTATCACAGATGTTTTCATCCAATAGAGTGATCATTGGGTACTCCTATTCAGAGCCAAGGAAAGCCATCCTTACATAATGAAACATTCTTCACCTCACGAGACATGAACTATTTGGATTCTTACCTAGTCATTTTAGGAGCCTCACTAAAGTTAAAAACAAAAAACCCCAAACATTGAATACAAGGAATTTTAGTATAACCAAGCTCATTCCCAAGGCACTACTAATGTTCCAGTTTGCTGACTGTGTGTATTCCTGCAAGGCCTAACATTCTAGCCAAATACAGACCCATGCTACACAAAAGCTAATAAACTGAGCAGAATCTCATACTAAAATGAAGAAAAGATTTTTATTTGCCTCTGAGATTAAAATCTTCCACATCCAAAGTATTTTGCATAAGTGCATTTTTTTTTTCATAAGGACCAGTTCAAAAGATATAATATTCTCCAGATTATCAGTATTTGAGATTCTGATTTTTCTACAACAACACTCACATGCTGAATTTATGATTTACACGACAGTAAAGATGCTATGGATAGATACGATTTAAAGTACAAGCACTTGTTCATTGAGGTCTTCCAAATGACGGATTTAGGAGATTCTCAAGCCAGTAAAATACTCATCCCTGAATCCAGTTGTCAAAATGCTGTGCTAGTTCCTGTGTAATGTATTGTTTGATTCGTACAGAGGTTATGTCTATGGGGTCATTTTAGCTCTCTTCTGCCAGTTACCTTTCTTTGCCTTATATGATAACAAAGCTATCCGTAAACCAGTTTCCATCATAATAGAATACCACCTTATTTTCCTTTAATGATCTTGATTTTCTGTTGAATCTGATCTAACACCCGTTTTAAAAAAATGTAGAACTCGCTATAATGTGAATGTTTAATTTTGTCTACACTATTTCCACTTTTACTAGTGAAACTTCTACCTTCATAACATAGTAGAATGGCTCATTTTGTTAGAGAAATAGTGAAATGCACTTGATAAATCATCATTCTCTGATTAAACTCTGTCAAAGAAAATTAGCTCCCGCTTTATCAGTAATGGTTAGGCCAAAAGATACTTCTGCAACTTGATGCATTCTGAAATTTTTCTCTAAACGTGACAGACTAAACAGTATCTTTATCTAACTGTCTTGAGATGTCAGCTATTTTATGCAACACTTCTTTTAACAGTATCACTTCCCTCTGCATCTCTGGAATCTCCATTAAATAAAGGGGAAATCTTCTGTCTGCTCAGCACAGACAATGTGTGAGAACCCTCCCGACAGCAGTTAACAGAGGTAGACTAACTAGGTGAACCTGTTTGATCAACTGTCTCATCCCTTGGTACAACCTTATCTGCTTACCCTTTTTTTAAGATTCAGACTGAGCACCACCAAACTGACTGAAAATAACGAAATTAGTAGTCTCTTTCTCAGTTTCCATCTGTTATATACAAGGCTGATATTAAAACAACTTAAAAGCCTGTGTGAACCAGAGGTCTTTTAAGTTTCTTAAATGCGTCAAGATCCTGCGATGCAAAAGCCTATAAAACATGAAATTTCTATGTGAATCTTTGCTAGATAAGGTACAGCTTGTATGATCAGATACCTGTTGGTTGGTATCTAGATCATGCTCACGGTATTTTAAGTTTTGGAAGCTAATTAGGAAAAGTAACACAGGCCAATTTTGTTTGAATGAAATTCTAGCAAAGCCTCTGGCAAAAGAGCCTGGAATTTCACACCGGATTTCAGAGTTTAAGGCATTTAAACCTCAGGATATGAATCAGTGGGTGTAAATCACTGAGTTTAGGAATCACATGTATAAAGACTACTTGGTAAGAACAATGCAATTTATCTGCGTAACACAAAGAACATGTCTGGCTTGGGGAAAATAGTGTACTTGTTTCGCATGCTGCCGAATGACTGCTGTAGCAGAACCTTCTCACGAACACAGTTTCTGTTTCAAAGTGCTGCATTACTAAGAAGATTAGGATTTGTCAAATATGAATGGATTGCTCCTATAAATGGGTCGGAATGTACTGAAATTTTGAGAGCATTGCCTTTTAAAGGAGCCAGGTTAAGTAGCATCCTGTAAGGGTATTATATGAATGATTTCATTAACTTTGATTTTTTTGTGTTCATTTTTGTGGTCCAAAAGTAAAACCTGGGATAAGTCTAATAATTTTCAAGTAAGAAATGCCTTTCTTAAAACAAGATTGCCAACGATATGTTCTCAGACAGGTGTCCTAGACAGAGCCTGTTATCACATAAATCAGGCTGTGCCTGCATGTTAGAAAGAATCTTGTAAACACACACAGAACTGTCACAACATGACTACCTTTATCATTATTGAGAATGGTCTTTTCAGAATAAGGCACGCTAGCTAAGTAGTGGAAAAGCTGCACAGCTGCTAACGTAATTGTACCTTTTCTGTAAAAACCTGTCTTTGGTCTATTTACTTTCCTCAAAAACTCAATTTGCTCTGTCTTTGTTCCTGTTAATTTCTCTGCCTCCTTTTTAATACCTCCTCTCTTTCCACTAAATTGAAGTATTAAAAAGTACCCAAAGACATAAAAAGGGATTGCCAGGATGTCATGTGCTTTCAGGGTCTGTGGTTCCAGCTTGGAAGTGAAGAGAAGGGGCTTCCTTTTTTGTTGTTTAGTAACTGTAACTATACTTGGTATTTTGTTTTCCTAGGAAAGAAGCAGTGGACGCTCATTATCGCTTCCTGGGAGACCTTCTTCATTCATTTCTCGAGCCATGTCTCCTACTTCTCCTCTTGTATTTCAGCCTGCCCCTGATTACTTCAGCAAGCCAGAAGCAGCAGCCGACAGGCCTGGCAAGAGACTGACTCCCTGGGAAGCAGCAGCAAGATCCCCTCTTGGCCTAGTGGATGAAGCTTTTGGGCCCCAAAATATGCAGGAATCCATTGCTGCTAACGTAGTATCAGCTGCTCGCAGGAAAACACTTCCTGAGCCACCAGATGAATGGAAACAAAAAGTTTCTTATGAGCCTCCAGCCCCAAGTGGTAGTGTAGCCTTATTAGGAGGGAAGCAATCGGGTATTTTATCACCCCCCAAAAGTTCCCTGTCTGCCCCAAGTGCCACCACGCAGGCTGGCTCTCAGCTGCAGTATCCTTACTACAGTCAACGGTCCAGAACAGATCCTGATATAATGTCCATGGATTCCAGGTCTGACTACTGCTTGTCAACAGCTGATTCAAACTACAATCCACAGCCAAGGGGATGGAGGCGTCCAACATGAGCAGCTGCAGGGCCTGGCGTATTTTCCCTTCTTCCAGCTTTACAAGCCTTACATTTGAGCTGGAGAAGGAAAGTTTCTTGCTGGCCTGACCATCTCTGAACTAACGAAATGAGGAGGCAAAATTGAATGGAGCACAGTTTTCACATGACTGCACGGCTAGCAGCCTCTAGATTAGATTCATTTTCACACCTAACCTAAGATTGTTCTGTTTGTCAAAAGGTAAAAATACATATTTCTTGGGGTGAAGGGTGGGATGAAGGCAGGGCAACCAATGTGATCGATACAAAAATCTAGGAAGGATGTAGATGGAGATAGTACAAGTGCTTGCAGTTAAGTTAATGTGAAAAAAAAAAAAAAAAAAAAACAAGTAAAATAAGGGCATTTTAAAGGCAAGAAGTATTTTACAGGATCTTGTAGGTTTCCTGGGTATGTTTGACATCTGAGTTCCAAGGTACTAGATATAACCAGACTTGGTAAAGCTCTAATGGAATTGGAATACTTGGAAGCACTGGCTTATTTGCCATATGTTTTCTTTACTGCATTTTTTAAATGAGCTAAGAAAGTAAATGACTGAATATTTTTACTGTAGCAACAGTTAAAATACATCGGTGGTCATGGTACCTGAATCCCTACAACACGTAGATATATGCAATCTTATGCAGCCACCCATTTCAGATGAATTTCAAGACAGTTTCAATGAAGTTTTACACACTGTAATTAATCAAATAATCTGAACACAACAGGAAGAAATGTGTTATCAATAGAGATCAGTACCATGATACTTGAACAGCAAAAAGGGTGAGGAAAGTATTTAGAGTGTATTTGAACTGGATTGCAAGCTAATTTTGTAATAAACTATCGAACAAGACAGAGGCTGAACAGCCTTTATTTCTCTGTGAAATGCACTACTTGCTGAACATTTACTGCTACAGTGTCTGGTATCTGACTGGCTGGGCAGTTATTCTTAGTTTCTAGGTAGCTCAATGTTTAGAAAGATTTTGATTTGTATGCTCAGTTTGGAAGACATAGATAAGTTGTTTATTACAAACAATACTTATTCTACACAGAAACTGGTATGTGAAAGAGGGTTTATGACATGTGTTACATGGTATGAGTCTAGTACGAGTAGCAAACATTTGGACGGATGGTAACAATTAAACTATCTTGATGGATCTGAAGAAATGGCAAATAATTTTTGCTGGTGATACATATCTTGCTTTTACAGCTTATTTAAACAATAGAAATATGTGGCTAAAACTATATGTATTCCAAGCTTATGGGTAGTTTAGATGTTGTTAAAGCATAAAATGAATAGCCCAAGTTTTACAAAGTGCTCTGCATCATCCTGGTTTTGTGGGGCATTCTTCAAGAATCTGTCAAGCATTTAACTAAAATTACTGCAGTAGCACTGTTAACTATCCTTAGTTTCAGTAAGGTTGCCAACTGTGAGTAAAGTTATTAGATTAGAAAGAACTAAAACATATACGCAGTAAAACAAAATATACTACAAGACATTCCCATCTGCAAAGAATTTTCAATTATAGCAGTTATAAAATGTAATTGGTATAAAGGAAAGAGGAAAATTAAACCCAAGTTCAGTTGAGCTGGAACTTCCCGTAAGAGCAAATAATTACATGCAAAATATACCCTTAACAAGTTTAAGTTGGCAGCAATTCTCTAGTCAAACAGAAGTCTCCCTGAAATCAACTGATCCTTTTGACCAAGCAGGAAACGAAGACATGGGAGTTGTAAACCTTTCAACTAGGATCATATTGCTATAGCACCTTACAAATTTACTTCACAAAATACGAATTTTCAAAGCAAAGATGATTTAGAAAAATTGCATGAACAAGGCTGCCATGATATGCTTGAAAATGAGCTTTGCACCTCCATCACGTACACACATAATGAGAGTAAATTTTCCTGCCACACAGGCAAAAATACATTTTTCGCTACAGTCCCATAATGCCCCCTTTTATCATGACTGGGAGCAGTCCCACTAGCCTTAAGGGCTTGTCAATTTTTCACTTAATTTCAGTGAAATTATAATTCAAAATGAAATTCAGTGAAATTTATAATTCAAAGTCATTAAGGCCTTAACTATTCACTAAATACTAGTGCATGTGTATTTCAGAAGGCCTACGTTCTGTAAATTATATAATGCTAATGTATTTTGCTGAACTGTGGTCCATATTACCATAATAAAAGAATTCCCTGCATCCAAGTTTAGGTTTCTGTTTTGAACTGTATCCTTTAAATTATTAAACAGGAAACCAGATTAATGAATTTGCAGTAAGGCATATATTTACCCAATACAATTATTTTAATTCTCAGAATCAAATACCTAACATTTGAATTCTCATTGGAACTAAGGTTGTGAATTCTAAGGTTATGCATCTACCAGAAGGAAATATGTGCTTAATTTTAAGGTACATGCAATTAAAAATTGCCAAAAGAATTTATAAATTTTGATATGAAAAAAAAAAAAGTTAGGATACAAAGTGATATTACAAAGGATTTAAAGCTGTGATCACATAAGAATACAGAAAAACATACTCTGGGATCAAGCTCTAACACCCCCCCCCAAATATGCAACGAACACGTAAAAACAGCAGAATCAGAGTTTCAGACACAATCACTGACTTTCTGTCAATGTTCCAAGAAAAACAAAGATAGCTTTATAATTTTCCCCTAATCACAAGAAGGAATTCATCATTAAGTACTTCTGTGAACACGAGAATTACTGACGTTGAGTTTCATGTGGCTTTGCATCTTATCATAGATTAACTTGGGTGTTTAACATGATCTAGTACAGATTTCTTTTTCCTTCTGCTGAGGATTTACTAGCTCTCTTTCCCATATGGATTCTCTCAAATCTAATAAGGAATGAGTTCACACTGCAGCATTTCCCTCACTAGCAACACTGGTAAGCATATCTGTCCTCTACCCAGCCGTCTATTTTTACAAAGTCTGTGGGCAATGGATTGTCTTTGAGACCTATTCCACTGCCACACAGAAATGAAACAAATAAACATTTTCAAAGTTATTAATGGGAGGACAGACATACACACTGGCATGCACGCAGATCACACAGCCTTGTTTACAAAGGAAATCAGGCTAAAACCAGATTGAGACAATGTACTGATTTCAATAGAAGCCGCAGGCCCAGACTACTAAATGAAATATTAACGCACACAGAGATTTATGAAGAGCCACATGGCATTTTTCACTTTCTGTTCTTCACCCCATTCCTCCATCAGCAAAGCATCTTTCTTTCAAATAGTTGAGACTGTTGTGCGTGAGTTCTGAATATATTAATGCAAGTATTTCTTACATTTGTTTTTGAATGCACAGATCTGCTCAGTAAATATGAGGAAAAAATTCTTTCAATATTTTAAATATGTCAGGTTTGTGTTCAACCTCAGAGATGTCTCTGTTAATATGCAGAGTGTTTGAATACACAATATAACTGAAAATTTAGTTTCTTTAGTTATGTTAGATGATGATGTTCACAACTCTTGTTCATAATTTGTTTTCATTTTGGTTTGCTTTAACACAACCAAATATCTATTCACATTGCATTTCTGCCTAGTAGCAAAAGACTGTATTATCTTTATAAAAGGCTTTTCACTTCTAAAGACTTTTTGCTCACTGCAAAGGACACTTTATTTGAAAGTGCATGCCAGGATGTAAATTGTATCATTTAATAAAGTGATTTGACCAATCAGATGAGAAACACAATGTTGTTTTCCCTAAATTCTTATCTGTTTGTTTAAATAATCTGAACCCAAGTAAAGCCTAATCTCTTTTTTCTGCACCATTTTTAGATTCACTGACTTTGCCTGTCAGTGACCTCGTGCTGATATGAGCTTCTAGAAGCTTAAATCAACATCAGGTCAAATGGTAACTTGTCAAATTCAGTAGAATTTCATTTTCATACTGACTAAGCAGAGGAAGGAAACACAGTGAAGCACAATCTACCCAGGTAAATAATATGGTCAGAGCAGTTTTTATTGTTCGAACATTTTCATCCCCACCGTAAAACCTGCAACTAACATCTACTTACTATAATTACTTGTCTACCTTACATGCATATAAACCTCTGTTTAGTTCCTGTATGTTTGTTCGTAAGGGCTGCATTGCTGTCTTCTTTTGTTGTTTATTCTTGAAACATATTATTTAAAGAAGAAATAAATATTGAGAATAAATTGTGAAGCCAGTCCTTACACTATTCAGGCTATTTGAGTGCATAGCTCTTAAGGAAATAAGGACAGCACGTACAACCTATGTGTGAAAAGCCAGATCAAATTTTCACTATTTACATGAAATGAATCACAAAGCAGATTTTGCATTTGTGAAGCAAGCAGGATTTTGCCCCAAATACAAGAAAAATGATTGATGCATGTAAAACTTGGGGAACTGATAAAGCTTGTCAATAGTTTTTTAATAGCTTTGCTCTACAAAGGGTTTACACGGTTATAAGAGACTCAGTGTTATTCCTTTTGATGGTTACGTTTTCATTCTTTGGTAAGTTCTTAAACACATTGTAAAGAAAGAAAGCATAAGCTAGATTCACAGCTGATGTAACTCCCTTGACTTCAGTAATTTGCAACAGATTAAAAATCTCACTACGCAGGTGAACAGTCATTGGTTTTTCATAACGTTTTACCCTCCAGAGAATGTACTTTGGCTTTCTTGAAATGCCCTATATCTTCTGGTGCATTCACCAACATTTAAGAGAGTTTAAAATGACAACAGTGTGGCAGACTGCTCAATTACCAAATGTGAGTCTGGTGGAATGAGTATTTGGTGTAATGAGTGATGTTAAGTCCAGAAAGAAAGGCAGATGTTTCTAAGCCGGTATCCGGTTTTCCTCAAATTGAACATTAGTGCTTTTACATTGTTAAGTTGATATATGAATGGATTTGAAAAAGAAGTTCTGTGTTGCTGCTGAGTCAGACACAGCACTCAATATGCTGCAAAATGTTTGGTGTTTGTTCACACATTTTCAATCCTAAAAAAAGGACTCAAGTATTTTATATTCAAAACAAAACGACCTCAGGAGCATTGCATGCGTGCACATGTAAGCTGGTTTTTTTTCCTGAAGAAAAAAAGGTAGGGGATAATTAATAGATGTTAATGGAGAACCAGGAGAACATACTGTGCTGCGGTACAGTCCAAATACAGCTGGAAGGTTACAATATAAGTGACACACATATAGAAAAGAAGGTCTTGATAAACCCCTAGCTATTAATAATACCTAGATCTATTTGCATCTTTAAAATAAATAAAAACCTAAGGATAATTTTGTCTAAACAGTGCAGAGGTTTGTTACTTATTTTT